TATATGCACATTTCTGTGCAAGAAACTTCCTGTATCAACAAGTTTTGGTTTCAAATAAAAATAGTATTTTCTATAAAATTGCTTTTTAAGTCATTTTCTTTTATTTCCTATCATTTTTCTAGAGATGTTTATCTTTGAATTTCAATTGTGAGATGTAGATTGTTTAAAAAAGTCAAGAAATGTAAAATTATTTTTATGGAAAGAATGTACTTACCATCATGGTTTTGCAGCTAGCACAGCCCTTTCTGAAACCTATAGAACAAGTGATTTATTTTTTCACTTCTGCTCTATGTAATGTTACAGTTCACTGGTATAATAGGTTTGATTGTGCTTCCTGTAGTCACAGAGTTGTGCAATTTCAAACCGTCTTCTTTTGATATTTTTTTTATACTATAGGAAGTGTGATGACAATTCTTTAATCTATTGCTAACTCCAGTCTAGTGACAGAAATGGCTTTTTAAATATTATAATCTGCAACAGAGTATTCATTGTTACAGAGAAATGCAAAAACGCTGACAAAAAAAAAACAATTCAAGCGTTTGTGACAATACTTCATAATTGTGGATATGAAAAATGAGGAATTATGCAACAATCTATCAGCTTTTGCAGGTTGCACTGAGATGGATTTACTAAAGTAGCAGAGACTGTTGACTTACATATGGGAATGTTTATTTTGCAAAGTGAATGTTAATGCATAAGTTGAAGTTGTGCTCACTAGCATATGAATGAGTATTCAAATGAGCTCAGCTTTGATGTGTTCACTAACATTCCAATTACGAAAAGAATATTAATTTTCTTAAGAGAAAAGCTTATGTTTCTTTTGAAAATCACTCCTATTGAGTATGAAGTAATGGTGCAGATCACAGACATAAATGCAAGTGGAAAAAGACAAAAAAGATTGGTGGCCTATTATCCCCAGTACATGCAAAGTTTGCAGTATACAGAACATATGCTGCGAATCTGTACACTGCAAAAGTTAACTTGGATTTTCATTTGGAATTTTCCCATTTTCACATTTCTAGACAGAAATATTCAGATTCAAAGCAAATATCATTCTGAAAAATGAGATTCAAAGCAATTATTATTCTAAAAAAGTTTATTACTAGGAATTGGCATTATACTACATGAACAAAACATTTTCAATAATAATTAAATACAAATAAATAAAATAAAACTACACAATTTCAGACACTGGAAATTCAAGAGTTCCATTACAGTGACGCAGCAGAAGTTTAAATTGTACAAAGGGGTTAGGGGAAAAATCCAGCAGTGAGTGGAGTATATAGGCTTCTGCCTTATGTCGCTGACATAAGAGTTTTTATTAAAATTCCCAAACCTCCGGGATTCAGTGTTCTTTATCTGTGGATGCTGATATTGTGGCACTGGATGGAAGCAGGCTGGGCTTCCTGAGTGTCAAATATTTCTTAAAGGCACATGTAGATGGAGGTACGGGACAATTTCCATAAATGCTCAGTTTCTTGCAGCTTTAAAAAACAGGCAGCTCACAGAGTTATGTCAGTTTAAAGTGGTAATAAAGTCTGGGTTTTTTTTATTTTTTACAGTGAATATCTCCTAAACATGCACCGTTTAGGAGATATTCACATTTGTAGTGACCCTTGACTTCATCGGCACACGTGCACCGCACTGTCAATGGACAGCACACTCAAGTGTGCTGTCAATTCAGAGCATTGTGCTGAGATTGTGACTCCCATGTGCATGTGCAGGAGTAATACCATCGTGGCCCACCCATTCAAACGGCCAGAGCGCGCAAACCTGGATTGAAGATAGGGTGAAGATGGGAGCCTTGTCAGCAGTGAGAGCACATCGGTGGACGGATCTGCTTTACAAGTATGTGGTGCATTAATACCACATTATGAGGTTAAACTGCAGGGGGGAGGGTTCAAAAAAGAGACTTTACCACTGCTTTGATATACACATTATACCTGCCGCACCACACTCACACTGTGTTGGGCATCACTTCAAAGATTATCAACAAAAAATCATAAAAAACAAACTGGATTCTATTTCTTTTGGATTGCATCTCAGCTTCTCTCTCATGATATTCCGTAATATGTGAGTTAAATTTATTTCTATTCCAATGTTAGTGTGCTACTGTTACATGTAAGTTTTTATGACTTCTATTTTTAAAATATATATCCAAAGTAAATTTTAAATTCATCTTTTACATAGAAAATATTTTTCATCTTTATATAAATATCTATTATAAATATATATGTTTAAACCCGTTTTCTTTTTAAATACTGGTGGTTTGTTTGTTATGCTGGCTCTTGCTTAAAAAAAATTTGAGTCACAAACCTGACACAATTATGCAGATAAGGATAGCTGACTTCTCTCTGACCTTCCTGATCTGAATAGTTGCTCAAGGTTGGTGATTTCGAAAGTACTGAATCCAGCAGATTAGCATAACAGCCACACAACTAGAATTTTTAGACCCAGCTTTACATGAAATGTATTTCTTCAGTCTTGTCCAATAAATAAATTATACACAATATCACAATATAAATGCATATTATCCCACAGGGATGACAAAAACGTCCTTACTGTTATAAACAGGTACACAATTGTTCTGCTTTTAGGCATTTCTTCACTAATACTTCATCTAAAATGATGTATTCATAAATATTTTTTACTAAACTGCTGGATGTAAAAAACACTGAACACATTCCTTTACATGACATAGCTTATTATAGAAGGAAAATGAATGCATGATGATGAAAGCAGAACAGTTACGGGAATGAGTAAAGGAGTAGAGAATTTTCATTTGCAAAGTAAAAGTTCATGTAGGTCAGTGAATGAGTGTGCTCATTTATTTTAATCATCCAACCATGTGCAAGCAAAAACCCAGTATTTTTTTTAAAGAGGGCAGAGCATGAGTTTTTTTATTATGATTTTAAGTGCATGTGTGCTGTGTAATGTGTAAGAATACAATGTATAGATATTTATCATAGTTCTCCCCTTAAGAATACCCCCGTATGTTTTTCTCATTGGAGAGATGGTTGCATCTTTGTTTAGGCACTATCAAGGGTTGTGCAGAAAAAATTACTGGAAGGTTTACTCTAACTTCTTTGGCACAGGACCAAGTATTCAAAATGAACATAGCATCACTCTATTTACCATACTAAATGAGCGATCACTTTATGAACTAAATATTCACTGTGCAAAATGTACATGCTCTACTCCTTTGTAACTCAACCCACTGCATATTCATTTAAGTGCAAAATAACTTCTCTGGTTTAGAAATGTTACACCAGTAACATTGTGTCGGAAAATGTACATTTGTCTGATCAAAATTCTACATTTGCAGTATGTGGATGACAGCAGACTTATAAAATCCAGTAGTACCGTTCATCTGTATTTTTATCATCAGTGATATATTGGGTCCATAAATTCAAACATTGCTATGTTTCAGAAATTTTGTAAACCTATAAAAAAATAACAAAAATAATTTACCATTAATATTCACACAATCACGTTATATTATTATTATTTATTATTAAGATTACGATTATTTACTTGTATTTTCAGAAAGGAACAGGGGCGGACTGACAACTCATGGGGCCCCCGGGCAATAGGGGATCATGGGGCCCCTGTGTCCTTGCCCAAACTCAAAAAGCCTATGAAAAAGGTACCAGGGGCATCTCATGGGGCCCCCTACTGACCCCAGGCCCTCGGGCAGTGCCCGAGTTTCAAAATGGTCAGTCCTCCCCTGGAAAGGAAGGTAGTATTACATGAACCAAATGAGCAAAGCCTAGCGCTACCAATAAAGTGGAACTGCACTGCATCTGAGTACCACAAACCAAAAAGGCTATATAATTAATTTTCAATATTCAAAACAAACTCCTCCATCCATCCATGTCTCTATGCTTTATTTTGATGAGAAATCATTTTGAAAAACACCTCCTGGCATTTCTGGCATTGGTCATCTGGAGTAAGGGCAGATGATCCCTTGTAGCAGTTACTTCCTAGAATCTATCTGTCCTTAGTTCAGGCATTGGCTGAGCTGAGAACCCTCCCTCCCTTCCTGAAGACTCCTGAGATGTATGGCATAATTTGCCTAGGCGTGGAAACCAGGAAGTAAATGAAAGAATGCAAAATAAAAGTTAAAACAACTTTAAGTAGAAATTTTGTAGGGTACAGTAATATATATATATATATATATATATATATATATATATATATATATATATTATTTCTGCTGCTCTGCAATGAAGGGTATGATAGAGTAATCATTTAAGCTAAAGCACTAAAGAAGCGATAGAAGTGAGTTTGTCAGGATCTCAACACAGCAGGTGTGTAAAGCAGAGCTACAAATTTAAATACATTTAATGCAGAGTACATATTACACAAAAATTCATGCCCTAAACTAGACAAAATAGATGCTAAAATAATTAATTTTTGTAATAAAGAAACCTAGCAAACTATACTCCAGTTCATTTGAATTGTCATGGTTGTTTTGGCAAGGGAAATTTGGAATTTAGTTTTTCTTCCCTAATAACAAGTACATTGTCATGACCCATAGGTTTGGTTACTGACGCTCTGAATGTGATATGTGGGCATCCATTTTTTATACCCTGAAAAAAAGATTTAACATGCCTGAAAAATGAATACTGTACACAGTGTAACAGTGGGCTTGTCAAAAATTGTAGTTCCCCATGCACTACCATGGCACTGTTGAGTGCTGTGGTAGTTCATTGAGTATTCTTGTCAGACTGTATCTGCTGTATGGGATGTATGGGCACACAGATACACTGACTGTTGACAGGAGTCCTGTATGACACCAGTGATCTGCTGATCCCTGCTGCAATGCTTTCCATCCTATCATCAAAGCTGTTTTCCTATCCCCCCAAAATCTATGCTGTAACATATCACAAAACATCTGGTGTTTAAAAAATTGCACATCTTTGCTAAATACAGCTGTTTTGGAAAAACAGTAATTACATTTCTATGTCTATTTTAAGTTGAATTCTCCTTACCGTATTCTATACAATGCCACTGCTGTCATTAGTATTTTGATAAACACCCGTTGCTTCAAGATGTTGATAACTGCTGTAAAAAGATGAGTATATAAATTTAAAAACCTTAATATTACACAATGATACATTCAAACTAAATTCAGCATAGATGATAGATGATATTAACTTACCTCGAGGGTGTAAATGTCTTTGCTGTGGAGAAAAAGAAAACAAAACATTACTAATTAAAAATTAGAATCACTAAATAAAACTCCTATACTTCCTCCATTATTTTTTAATTCAACAAAACTATGGGCAATGAAGACTTAGAAAGAACAAACAATCATAATCAACCAATCAACCAATCAAATTTTAACTCTGTGAAATCACAACAGTGAAATGTAAGTTACTATACTTTTTATCTTTTTTCCTATTAAATACAAAGATTTTACAATTTTATTTGTTTTTCAGATACATACTTAAGTTTACAAAAAAATTATATTGTCTTACCTGTTTTACGGACACGTTTTGCAAGCCATAAAAGGAGGCCGGCAACTGACATGAGAGAAGTGCTTGCTGATACAGCTCCAACTGTGATGTATGTTGGGGAGATTTTCGGCCCTTTTACTACTGGAACATTAGAAAAATGAAAAAATTCTAAGATTTACATATTTCAAAGAAAAAAAATGGTACTGAAAGAACAAATTGAGTAATTAATGTTTGTGTTTCTTAGATATATTTTACCTTCGCATGTTGGAGGTCCTGTACTCCATCTTCCACTACTGTCACATTCAACAGTGCTAGTCCCATTTAGTGACAGACCAAATCCACAGTCAAATGTACACACTGATCCATACTCAAATTCTCCTGAGAGGTGAGTGCAATTCATTTTCCCCATTGATGGAGCTGTAAGAGCTTCACATTTTAAAGCTGTTAAAATAAACAGAAAGGACATAATTTATAAACCAAGTGTAAGGGCAAGTACAGTTTAGATGTTATGGATTTTGTAAGTTTGATTTGATTCAGGAAATTTTTCATTTCTTGGTAGTTCATGAGATGCTCAGCTATGCAATTTTGAATGAACGGTTTATAAAACTTATACGTATAGCAAATAGTGGTGATATTTTAATAAAGCAGTAAAAGGGTGCTTACTTAGCAAAGTGATTGTTTACTCTGGAAAACATATGTTTGTAGAGCTTGGTGAAAAAGATAAAACTGTGTTCTCTTCAATAAACCAATCATGTGCTAGCAAAAAAAAAAATGTTTTTAATTACCTTGCACATGATTGAATATTCAAGATGACAGAGGTTTACCTTATTTACCAACATTCAATTAAGTGAATAGCCCTTTACCCCTTTAGTAAATCAGCTCCTTTTTCTAGCTCAAGGACATCCTTCTTGTCATTATACTACATACGGTGTTAGTACAACTTCAACATAGGCCATACAATTACTTTGTAATGTGGCAAAAATTTGCTTACTTCCTGCTACTATTATTATTATTTTGTAAAAGTGAGTATGCTGCTGGGTATATTAGCTGCAGATAGCATATTACTAAAGACTACATGTTTTTTTTCTTCTTCTATGCATTTATCCAATATACGTAATCCCTTCTGTTGCAATTGAAATAAGTTCATATTTACTGAAACTACATTATGTGTTGTCTTGCTCTCTGTTGCTTAAAAAAAACAAGTCCATCCAAAACCGATTTACCAGTTTTGTGCGAAATGTGGCAGGGCACAATCACTCAGTGTGGTTGCTTTACTAAAACTGGAGCTTGTGAACTCTGGTACAGTTGTGCATGGTCGCCAATCAGCTTCTAACTTCAGCTTGTTCAATAAGCTTTGTTCAATTCAAACCTGAAAGCTGATTGGTTTTTATGTACAACTGCACCAGATTTTGTACTCTCCAGTTTTAGTAAATCAACCCCAGTAGGTTGTTGTTGCTACCTGAAAGCTCTACAGGGAGAACTCTCTAACCTGAGAACAGCCAGAACATGTTGTGTGACCCCCAGCTAAGAGGATATGTTACTGGATGTCACCATCCTCAGCTTTCTTCATATATAGTTATCATTCATGCAATAGGGCACGATACCCTCTAGTGCTTGCTCCATGCACAATATGTAGAGGAATGCAGGGCAGGGAAAATAATGGGGTTGATTTACAAGGGACAAACAGCCTGTTCACTTTGCAAGGGAAGTTATACTTTGCAAGGGATTTTGCCCCAGAGCTCAGTGAATGAGATGATGTCTATTATTTAATCATCTGCAAGCCAAAAATGCTGTTATGTTCTTTGTATGTGATTGTATCCTTTGTAAAGTGAAACATCACCACCTTCACTAAGATCTGACGAAAATTCTCTTGCAAAGTGCACAGCGTGAACAGTCTATTTGCTTAATGTAGATCAACCACAATGATTTATATCATAATTTGGCAATTACCTTTACATCTTGGAGCAGTCGATGTCCATTTTCCAGATAATAAACAATTGAGATCAGATGGTCCAATCAATCTGAAACCTTGCTGGCAGGTAAAAACACATTGGGATTTGTATCTGGAACCTTCTTGGCATTTTATCTCTCCATTATCAGGAGCAACAAGAGGAGCACATTGCACAGCTGCAAATTACAAATGCACAAGTCAACCCAAAAAGTATTCGAATCTCAATCCATTTAAATTAAATTATGAAAGTAGCATTGCAGTAATTTTCCTGCTGCTATGAAAGGGTTTGTAATGCTTGGTAATTCCATACTGTGATAAAAATAAAAAGCACTAACACTATAAATAAACATGTTTACAACTTCTGCTTCCGGTCACCTAGGCGATCGCAGCAGAAGTGGGAGTGGGTACCCCGCTCCCCAAAAGTGCCAATACTTAATGGGGAGTGGGGGACCAGTCCTTAAAGTGGAACTTCCCCTTTTGGGTGGAGTCCTGCTTTTCTTAAAAAAGCAGTAGTAAGAAAACACTGAACTATCTGAACCATTCCCTTGCCCAAAAGACCTCACAAACTAAAGGTTGTAATAAAAGTCAGTGGACACCTGCCAACTTTAACAGCATCTTAAATAAAATAGAAAAACTGCTATCGGTCACCTAACTCTTACTACATTTTTGCTTCTCTAACTTATTGATAGTCTTAATAACATGTGATTTCCAAATTAATAAAATACTAAATAACTGTATTAGATGCAAGTATCAATTCACAGATACAGATATCATATTAGAGCACAAATCCACTTGAAACTTTTTTAGTAGTTTTAATTTTAGAGTTACATTCTAACATTTTTACGGCTTTTGCTGTTGGGGAGATTTACCATCTCGTTCTGTCTCAAAGACCACACAGAAAGTGGGGATATTCAACTCAGCCATAAAACCCAACAGTATTCAAAAGCTGTATTCAAAATCAAAAGATAAGGTTTGGGCTGGACTTGGCCTCTAAACAAAAACTCAAAAGGCATTCTATACTGTAGTAATCAATATTAATATTTATTTTAATGTTACTATTTACAATTCTAGTAATAATTTTACCTTGACATATAGGTACTGAAGATGTCCATTTTCCAGAAATCAAACATTGGAGCTCTGATGATCCAACCATCTGAAATCCTTCTGCACAGGAAAATGTGCATTTCGAGTTATAGTTTGATTCATTATGGCATTCTACCTGACCATTCGTTGGGGCCACCACAGAAGAACACTGCACAACTAAAATATAAACATAATTAGAAAATATGTACTTTTTTTATATGATAAACCTCACATTTCATTTTTTTATACTGATGTAATGCAGTTTAGCAAAATGGCATTAACTGTCAAATTTTCAGTTTTTAGCCAAATGAGGGAAATGATCTTCACTTTTTGTCCCTAAGTAACAATAGGAAGTAAAAGGGAATCTCTTCAAAATAAGGAATGCCATTTTTGATAGCTGTCACTGAAACAAGTGGCCCCTTTTGAAAATTTCCCCTTTATTCCTGTTCTTTTTAGAACCCAAAAGATTTCATTTCCCATCGATATTTACTTTGCTGTCCACATTGACCAGTGAATTAAAGTTCTTTTTTACAAGACACAGAATGTTACATACCCTGGCTTTATATGGATGGATGTAAAAATATTACAATAGGAGACATTCCTACCTTCACATGTTGGAGGTTCTTTTGTCCACTGATCAGGAGCTATACACATTGTTTTAGGAGATCCCACCAAGGTATAGCCTTCATTGCAGGTAAAAATACATGAAGACTTATAATGTAGAATTTCTTCATTGCTGGAGCATTGCATTGTTCCATTCTTTGGTACCTCTGGATGGTGGCACTGAATAGCTAAACAATGAGGAATTGTACATGTAATTATAGTGTATATCTGGGATATATATATATATATATATATATATATATATATATGCATTATCTGCAGGATATTTGCAAAATCATACATTAGTTACCCCACCCTTTACATACTAGTTAATATCCAACTTCCTATATAAACTAAAGTGGTTTGAGAAATTTATCTCAGTACTTCACCATGCAATACATTTTTTTCCATAAAGCCCTTAAAGGCTGTTTGACACAAAAAACTAGCCTTAGATTCCAGCACTGTTACTGATAAAACACCACCATTTTAAAGTAATTTAAAAACTATGTGAATTAAGTAAAGAAAGCTCCGAATTGTGTAATATTTACCTTCACATTTTGGAGGCTCTTCTGTCCATTGATAAGGAGACATACATGTTGTTGATGGAGACCCAACCAAAGTAAACCCTTCCTTGCATCTGAAAGTACACCTAGTCTTATATGGTAGCATTTCTTCTTTGTCTGAACAATCCATTACTCCATTTTCTGGTTCTTCGGGACGTTTGCACTGAATAGCTACACAAGGAGAATAATTACTTAAGTGCATGCACTGGACTTTTGTTTACTACAATATTCATAACCAATGTAATTGCATTTGCAGTACTGTAAAAATACTTCTTAGAAATTCATACAACCTATACTGATACAGTTTGCAAATAACCTGTGTGAACATTTAATTTAGGTATGTAAATATAGGATACAATGTTTTTTCAATGTAACTGCATACATATATAGTCAAGACTAATATTTGTAACACATAAAAAAAAATAAAAGGAAAGGTTTGTCTTTATCTTTGTAATATATATGGAGCTTACAAACTAAAAGCTGAGATTGAAGCTCTCTATAATATATTTGAGACAATGTGGGTTTTATTTGACCTCTATTTGATAAGGTGTTTTGGTAAAAACGTGGATGATTTTAATAGTTTTTTTTATATATCCCAAATGCACCTCAAGTATCCCAATACCCATAGGTATGTTCTTCTTAGTTTGTTGAATTCTTTTGTTCTATTTTTTCTAGATCATCCCTATTTATATTAATATGTATTTGCAAAACAAAAGCATTTGTAGAAACAAGCATACGTTGCAGTTTATTCTAGAGTCAGCATTATTAGTAATTTTAAATGCCCAGACTATAGACTAAAATCCACAAAATAATGGAGGAACCTACCGTTGCATTTGGGAGGTTCTTCTGTCCACTGACCAGGTGTCATACAAAGTAGTGAAGTTGAACCAACTAGACTGAAACCATCATTGCAGCTGAAATTGCACACAGATTTATCTAGCAGAATTTCACTATCACCGGAACATCTGATCACTCCATTCATTGGTACCTCTGGACGTTTACACTGAATTTCTAAACAATAAATAAGGAAAGCTTTGTTTAATGTATTTTTAAAAAATTCTACAGTCTTATAAAGTAAAGCTTGATAATTAATTTTTCTTACATTTTATTTGCTGTTTTTGGTAATTTGATTATATCATAAATTATGTGTATACCTTTACATTGTGGAATGTGAGCTCCCCAATCTCCTTCTTTAGTGCAGCTCAAATTTTCTGAGCCAACCAACACATATCCATCAGAGCAGTTAAAATGACAATTTGACAGATATGTGAATTTTCCATTAACATGAGAGCAAGCCATTGATCCATGGTCTGTGCCATTTATTTCTGGACAAGTGACAACTGGAAACAAAGAAACAGATATATTAAATTATGTTTTAATTGATATTCAAAAAGATAATAATGCATAAGCATTACATTTTTAACATTGCTAAACCTATGAAAAAAATAATTACCATGTTCACATTCTTCTCCATAAAAGCCATCATAGCAGTTGCAAGTGTAGTTGTTAATAGTTTTTCAACACATTCCCCATGGTTGTTGCAAGAAGAAGGATGACAAGAAGCTGAGCATAAAAAAACAATGCATACTAGTTAGGAAAATTACACATTTATCATAAATTAAAAAAAAAACATTCCTGGCATATTTGACGCAAGTTTTCTGTATTCTGTAAGCCCTGTGAATTGCAAAAAAGAGCCTGTAGGATGAGTGAATGTATGAATGGAGCAGTATTTAAAGTAGAATCATAGACAAATCTATTTTTTATTTCATTGTGGATAAAGCAAGGGAGGGTTATAACCCGTCAGATTTTTTTTCACCATCTGTGTCCCATTTCAGAGATTTCACTTCCTGACCCATGGCCAAACAGGAAGAAAGTGAGAAGCAATATCAGCCAATTAAGGGACTGCCTTGGGGATCCCCAAGACACCAGAACTAGGGTTCCCATTTGAAGATTTCCCCTCTATTATTTTTCTTGGGATATACTTTACTTTTGCTTTCAATGAAAATGGTAAACAGGACAAAAAGAGAGGGTGAATCTCCCTAACAAGATCATAGACCACAATACAAGCTCACAGGAATTCTAATACCTCTCCAAAACTAAAAAAAAGCCTTTAGTTATCCTTTAATATATCATGTTTTCTTTGGTTATTTTCATGACATATGATAACACTTATTACTACTTTATTAAATAATACATTATTTTAGATTCTAGATATTTTAACCTTTATTTTATATTTATTTTTATGTTACAATGTCTATAAAAAAATTTTCAAGGTACAATATATGTAATCTACACACAATTTGCTTTTTGTAACTTCAAATGGAAGATGGAACAAGTGTCTCATCTAATTTAAACATTTTGTGAATGTTGTGTTTCTGGGAATAGTTTCATACCTGTGTAGCATAAAGCAGCCTTTTCTTTATTGCAGGGTTCATCATTCCATTTTCCTGAATCAATTGCCCGCTTAACATACATCTCAACACAGTCTTCATTTTTATTGTCACTCAGGTTGTTAGGTTCATTTGTGGCCCAATTTTCAGCTTCTTTTGTGAGAACCTTGTTTGTACCAACCCAGGTCCAATTGCCAGTTATATTATTTTTTCTTATACCAATCCAGTAATATGCTTTATTAAGTGGCAGTATGTTGTTGAGATGTTCATTTTCCATTTGGTTTTGAATCGCCACCATAGAAGTGTATTTTTCCGCACAATATTTATACGCATCATCATATTTCATATTGTTTGGTGAGTAGTGGTAGGTCCAACCATGTACACAGGATATCAATGCAAGGCCTGCAATGAATAACAGTTTATGTGTTAATTTTAGTACACCAAGGTTTTCTTATTCCCTTAGTTTTTGTGCTTCATTTTTTATACAGGCAATTATGCAAATGTTTGCTTTAATAGTATTAAGGGATATATTATATTCTACTTATAAAAAAACTTTAAAACTAAGTTCATTATAAAGAATTTGCATTGATGCCTTGAGGGTATCTTACGAATTAGGATAATATAAAAAAAATTGGATTTTTTTCAGACAGGGCCAGTCAACTGTAAGACATTTTCAGTATCACCCTTACAAAATAAATATTGTCTTTCTTCTATTTTTTTATTTACGCTAGAAAAAAAGATAAAGATAGATAGAAACATAAAACGAAAGATAAAGAAAGATAGTATTTTGCTATTTTTTTTAATAAATGTTATGTGTTCACTTACCATAAACAGTAAGGCAAAGAGAAAATAAATATTCCATCTTATAAAATCAGTAGTAAAATTGACAATTTTCTGAAACAAGAAAAAAAAAAAAGAAATATTATGTAAGGTTCTCAAGGTATCAGCTTTGTAATATTGACTGGGAATCATTGTAAATACTTTCACCAAAATAAGTTAGTTTGACAGAATGCAACAAAAGAATAGTAGGCCTTTCATGACCAGAGGTCAATGACTTGTAGATACCCAGACCAAATATAGCAACGTCAATGTGCATTAGTTGACTTGGCAATAACTTTATGACTAATTTGCCTTCCTAAATAATGTTTACTTTGTTTTTAAAGACATGTAAGGATGTTATTTTATACAATGTTTTAATATACACCCTGCTCAGATTTTTTAAATTATAGGCTGACAAAAGAGGTAAACATAAAAAAATACACTACGGTCTTTTAAAATATTGTATTACAATTATTTTTCGTACAGCAAGTGCACAGATATAAAGATACAATGATAGCTGGACTAATTAGAGGTTTTGTTTTTTTTAACCAAAAAAACCTTATGTGATCACTATGCCACAGCTGTCATAATAATCACATGCTCTATTATTACTATATGATTATTGGTTCTCAATCATTGTTTGAGCCTGGGAGCAATGCATAAGCACTCCCCATGACAGAGTTAGACCCAACTGTCTGCCTAGTTCTCCTTTTTTAACATCAATCTAATCTTGAATAGATTTGTGTCAAAAGCATCCAAATATGATGCACATGATGCCTATCTTCCTTCTTTAATCCTTTTTTTACTGTATAATATAGCGATTATCATACCAGCCATGAAGTGAATAGCAGAAATGGTCAAAAGAATCTAATACAGCAATGTTAAACAAGCATAGTCTAACCAGCACTACAAAAGGTTCTCCCAACTTCCACTGCTGGTCTTTTAGAAAATGATGTACTTATCCCACACAGGGTCTCGTGTCTCATGTATAAAGTGCCTGACTACAGGAAATGTCTGTATTCCACCTTAGTTTTCACAATTCTCTTCTAATCTGTCTGTGCAACAGCATTTTGATTGTACAGGCACACAGATTATTGAACAGTCAAGCACTTCATACATAAAGCAGATTAATAGCCTTACACATGAGAGGAAGGTGGGAAATGGGAATATGAGGAATCTCTATCAATAGCCAAGGACGACAAGGACCAAGGCATAGGGGCTATCTGCTGACACTATAAGGAGGGGAACAGCTGCTGCCTTACAATGCAATTTGTATATATCATATATAGAGGGATTCTGTAATTTATTATACAGACATATGTAGTATAAAATATATGATTTATACACTATATACTGCATCTTGAATATATATCATAAGCATACTGTAACTATTAAGCAGGTTGTTTTTTATTTAGAGCGTCCAGGTCTCTTTATATATAGCTTATTTAGAATGACACAGCAGCATTGCTTAAAACATTCACAGAAATCTCCTTTGTTGCAAGGAGTCAATGACATTATAGGATATAGTACAATTTGAAGTTCATTAGTAACTTTTCCACTAAACAGCACATCTAAGAACAAAATACATAAAGAGAAAAGTAGTGATTCCTATGAATATTGCAGAATTTTGTGTTTTAGTTCTCATTTTACACTAAATTTGCCATATTTAATCATTTACAAATATTAATATACAACAGCAATCATCCGTCAAAAGTCAATAAAACCATTACACATCAACTATAATAATAATAATGGAAGATAGTCTGCTACTAGTTGCTCTTGTGTCATCTGTTCACAATATCAAGCCCATTATGTCAACACACACAGCTAATATGTACCTAATAAAAGTGCTAACATCTGTATTTTACTAAAGTAGCACATTTTGCTATCCTTTTTTTCAGACATCTATAAACTAAAAAGTATTTATCTTGAATACCTAAGCAAAGAAAATAAGGTATTATGCTTTCAGAATGATATACTCACTACTTTATATGTATAATCCTCTGAATGGGAAGTGAATACTTCAGAGTCTGGGGCCTTTCTCCTCTCTTCTGTTTCCTGTAGGAGTAACTTTCAGTGCTGAGCCACTTGTCTTTTATACACACTGCAGACTAGGAATGACCAAATGGCATGCTCCTATTTACATACAATACAAGGATATTTCTCTTGGCCAGAAGAAATTCCCAGAAACTTCCCAGAAATATTCCGTACGATAAAATAGTCTGTTAATGAGTCTGTTTCCCAAACTGTACTTTGCAATTTGGATGTATACCAGTAAATCAATTAAGTATTGACATATATTTTCACTTCATGAAATTGCAATTATGTATAATTTTTAACATAATACTTTTATGTTGGTAATGTGGTGTGATGACAGATATGTAAGGTAACATTCAGTTATATTTTAGGCTGGATTTACACCTTTGTGTTGTGGTAATCAACATTCGGAAAGGCAACCCAATACCCAATATACTGTACTACACCACAACAAACAAATATGAATGCTGTGTCTATTGTGGTCCACTGTATTTTCAAAATGTGCAAGTGCATTCAGGCATTAAGATGCTGGAAAGGCTCCTAAAGTAAACTTTCAAGTCACATTTACTACATTAAGTATTAACTCATTCCTGCTGGCTGCACAATAAATGCAGCCTCTCGGCAGGTGGCCTTTTTTCCTTCCTGCCAGCCACATATATGAGTACCCAAACAAAAACAACTGTGCCGAGAGTGCGCACGGTGAGCACTCCCAACACAGTTACTGGTGGCTAGTAATGATCGGGAGCTTTACGATCATATGACCGCTGTGACATCCAATAACGGTGGTCACATGATCACAAACCCTGCCCCAGCCCCCGACATCTAAAACCCCTTAAAAAGCCAAGAGGCACTAGCGCCAAGGGGTTAAACTGAAACTATAGGCAAAACGTTTCTTGAATTTTGGATAGAGTAAGGGAGGGTTATAATCCCTGTCAGTTTCATTTATTTATTTTTGCCATTTGTGTCCCATTTGGGGAGATTTACCTTCACTTCCTGTCCCATAGCCAAAACAGAACGTTAGAGGAAATCCCTGCAAATTAAGGGAATTTCTTGGGGGCCCCCAGGTCATGAGAACTAGTTACCCCATTAGAAGATCTCCTCTCTATTCTTTATTTTGTGGACAACCCAAAATTTGGGATTTTTCTTTTACTATTAGACCCTGGATCTCTCCTCTGCCCTTCAAGATTGTTTTGATCAAATGCTTTCACAAGCCAGTAATGGCTTGTTTACATCCTAGCCAAACCGGAAGTGAGAAAATTCTCATTGCTTTCAGTTTCATATACCATAGTCATGTTCTGGGGCATTCTGGTATTTGGTCATCTCTGTGGTAAGCCAGTGGAACTAATGACTTCCCAGGTTCCCCAGTGGTAAAGGAGAGCTCTGAAAAGGCACAGGAAGGCAGAGGGGGGACCACCTCCTGGTGCATATAAAGCAATCTAGAAGCTATTTAGCCACTTGGATTGTTTTTACATAATTCAGCAATACCAGCTGAAAATTTTGATTCTGACATGATACCTGCATAACCACTAAAAGTCCAGGACATTATATGGCATCCTACGGGTAGGAAGTGATTTATATAATAACACCCTATCAGATCATCTGATGGACCTTCCTCCTATAACGTACAAACAAACAATGTGCAGTGACCTAAATCATATCTCTAATAACAATGCATCAATAAATTATAGTCCATAATTAAAGTCCAATAGTTCATAGTGCTCATGTGCTATAGTGAACATGATTTATAAGAACACAAGTGATGAAAAAAGGTTGCTGCTTACAAACGTGCGCCACCTATTCCACTGCACTCACCGCAATATTTGCACATTGTTTGTACGGTATAGGAGAAAGGAGCCTTGTAGAATTGAATCTTCCCATATTAATGAAAACACTAGTCATATTGGTATAAGTGGACGAGATATTGGAGAATTACGTGGGGGGAGGTGCCACTTGCACATATCCATTTATGCACTAGTTTTGGTTCCACATATACTGTATGGTTTACATATAGTTTTAAGGATTATTGCCCATTTGCACATTTTTCACTTGATTGCAATAAGGGGCAGCTCTTTACCATTGATTTTAGCATGGGCTGAAATAGTGGCAATTGTTTTGGTACACTGCAGCAATTTGAAACATTTAAGAGCAGTGCTCATACTGTTCCATGGTAAAAATATGGGGATAACTGTGGTGACAATAAAAATGTCCCAGCTTTGGTGTGAGGAAAAAAGGCCCCACGTTGGTGGTGTCACTGGAAGGAAAAATTGCCCCTGCATCAGTGGTATCACTAGAAAGAAAAAATGCTGCTGTGTTGGTGTCAGTAGGAGTGTTAGTTGGAGGGAAAAATACTGCTGGGTCAATGGCATCAGTCTGAGAACTTTGGCACTCGTGTCAGTGGGCTGGAAGTTTGGTTGGGGGAGGCTCTGTGAGGTGTAATTAACTAAGAAGCCCTATGTGATTCAAGTGGAGGGAATGGAACTGAAGGGCTCT